CTGCCAGTGTAGATTCGTCGCATTCTGTGAGAATGATTTGGGAAGGAACATGGAACGCCTGGGCAGTTTCTGAATCCAGCATGTGTTCTTCATAGCTCGTGTTAAATATAAGGCTGGTGAGCCTTCTGTACTCTGGAGATCCAATTGTAGTATCGACACGTTGTCGACATAGGTCAGTGACCACAGGAGAGTTAATCGTATTATTTACCGTGTTTGGGGAAGTGAGTGTGCTTCAATGTCATCTGAGGCAGTAGAGTTATCATCAGAAGACAGGTGGAGGTCTGCTGAAGCATCTGGTGTAGGTGCCGGTGAAGCTGGTGAAGTCACAAGTACAACTGTAGTAGTTGGTGGTTGATCTAGAATCTACAGCCGGTGATGCTGTTGTAGGTACAGATACCGAAGGGTTGATTGGCGCTGTAGTAGGTTGCAGAGGATGGTGGCCAGCAGAATGGGGTGGGGGTGATGTCAGAAGCTGAATTCGTAGTGGTGGCTATCGCTGGAGTAACGAGTTCCTCTGAAACAGTAAACGTTGGGAAGCCATTGACAGTGTAGAGTATATTGAGGATTCGGACGAATTCCTTGTAGCTCGTGCCTGCCATTATTTCTGCCGTGCGTTTAAGTGCAAAGACGGTTCTATGAACGGTGTTGGGGGCCAGCAACTGGTGTGGTGAAGGCTGGCTTGATGATTGCCAGTGGGAGGGTGTGGCTGTTGCGGCTGAGTCGATGAATGGTTGGCGGACTGGGAGCTAGGCCCCCATTAGCTTGCAAGCTGTGCAGAAGCTCCGCCCCCACTCGGAAGGTTTGGAGAGTTGGCGCCTTGCACGTTGAAAGTTGATGGTGTACGGCGAGTGGTGTTGACCTGCCTGGCGTCAGTCATCTTCTTGATTTTTGCAAGTCTTCGGGGGCACTCAGCGGAGACGGCAGTAAGTTCACCTTGACAGAGAAGGCAGTGAAGACAGTCGTTCACGCAGTCCTTAAAGTGGTGGTTCCCGGCGCACTTCCCGTTGGTCCTGGGAAGTGGAGCACTTTTTCGTGATGTGCTCGTAGCTGTAGCACTTTAAACACTGACGATGTCTGTGGTGGTACTCCTTGGTGATCTGGCGAGATGTACTGGCAATACCAAAGGACCAGAAGCCGTTGTTAGCAGCAAAGGTAGCTTCCTCATGCGATGTAAAAGTAACCTTCATAGTGGAGAGGTGGCTGTCGTTTACAGGAATAAACTTAACAGCGACAGCGGTTAAGGAAGGGTTCTGGTCATTAATGCTGGTGACGACATCGGTGACAGCTTTTTCAGAGAGTAGGTAGCTCACTCTCCGAACAAACACCGTCCTGGCTGCGTGAGTGATACGGTGGGGTGAGGATCATATGCGCTTCCTGAAGATCAGAGAGGGTGGTGAGGTCGAACAGACCCTGTAATGCTGCGGCAATGATGAACAGCATTTGGGGTCCTCCATCGTTGACGACGTCCAGTGGTGCAGCAGGAGCTTTTGTAGTGATCAAGTCCAGGATCTCTGACCGGGTAAGGGGCTGGTCCCCTCTAAATCGTATCTTGATCTGGTGGATCATGGTACACATGGTACCAGAGGGTTGCACTTTGCGTAGGAGGTCTACCGTCTCTTCCCTGTATAATGCACCAGGCTGGGAGTGGGGTCTGACCTCCTAGAATAAAGAGCTCTGAAATGTACGCTCGTATTTGATTATATTAATACCTTTGTAGACTTAATACTCACCTAGTATGGTAGAGCTGAGGCAGACAGATTAGGAAACTTTTTGTCAGTGGTCTCAATTCTCACACGCCACTAAGTCGGGCATGGAAGGATATCAACAAGATCAAAGGGAAAAATGCTGCAGAGATCTCGTACCCTAATCCTCTGCACAGAGCAAATGAGCTTGTTGATGCTTGGGCCACGACTTCCAGGTTTGACAGTCATCCTCTACCCACACAGAATGAATTAAATAATAGATATACTGATAGAGCAAGGCTCCTTGACTTCATGCTTCATCAGGAGGATGACTGTGACATACTTTTTAATGAATACGAACTAGACTCTGCTCTACATAAAGGCAAAGCTACATCACCCGGGGAGGATGGAGTTACTTACGGCATACTGCATATACTTCTGCTAGTTCCAGGGAATCCCTTGCTTGAATTGTATAATATGAGCTATGTAACTTGGGAGCTTCGAAAGTCATGGAACAACAGTCTTAATATTCCCATTCCTAAACCAAACCAGCCGATTACTTTTCGCCCAATCTCCCTCACTAGTTGTCTCTGTAAGTGACTTGAGAGGATGGTTCTCAACCGTCTCCTTTACAGAATTAGTAACATGTTGTCTCCCAAGATATATGGCTTTACGCATGGAAAGAGCGTACATAACTGTATTACCACATTCCTCACCCTGCATACTGATAGGTCATACACCACTTTCCTAGATCTTAAGTCAGCCTTTGTCATTGCAAACCCACACGTCATTATGAGCGAACTTCCTAAAATGAGTGTTGGAGGATGGATTCTACAGTGGATAGGAGGCTGTCTATCCAACAGGAAGTCAACTGTACTCTTCCAAGGGCATAGGAGTGTAACGAGAGATTTTGAACTTGGCACTCCACAGGGAGGTGTCCTCAGTCCTACTCTGTTCAATGTGTTAATCAATGCACTTTTAAACTCAGTAACCAGAAGTCCCAGCGAACACATTATTGGCTATGCGGATGATATACTGATCCACACAAATGGGTATACCAACACCCAAAATGTACTGAACTCTGTATTGCACACATGTTAGGAACTAGGCTTAGTCATCTCAGTAGAGAAAACAATGATCCTGAACCGACGACCACCCAGGCGGCGTGGGGCCGTTCGCAAAATGCAGTTGCATGATGGCTCTCTGCTCGACTATGTAACCAAATACAAATACCTTGGTCTTGAAGTTCCACTGTACCTCAATGTTGTAGCCAGACTTGGTCGCCAATGTAGAGAGAGGCTCCATGCTCTCAAGGCTGTGGCAGGCTACCATCCAAGCTATGATGTAAGTGTGAGAATTATCAAAATGATGTCTCTCTCATATATTAGGTCTCTAATTTATTATGCTGCACCCATGCTTGCTCTAGTGCCTGAGAGAATGCTTGGAGTGCTGAAAAAGCGAAAATCTTTTCGCTTTTCTTCGAAAAATGGCTTCGTTTTGCATCTTTTGAAAAGATGCTAAACGAAGCCATGAGGATTATCCTCGGATGCCCCCGTACAACTAAATTACTAAACATGAGGAAGGAACTGAATATTTCATGTGTAAGTGATCGTATCACTGATATTAATGCTTTAATTGGTATCAAGATGCTTAGGCTAACCCACTCTAACCCCTGCACTGAAGCCCTCCAAGCCTTCTTCCTTGAAGGTCAGCATCCCTCCAAATTGTTTACCGAAACTGCCACTGTGCTCAGTATGTATAAATTTTATCACCGCTATCAAGAGTGACAACAACGACACTTTCCTGCCCCATGGGAGATCACTCCTTTTCAAATTACTGTCCCCCCTTTCCCACCCAAGAAGCTGATTAAAGAACAAACCTTGCTTCGACAAGAAACAAAGTACACTGCCTTAAGCCAAATTGATCATTTAGTCAGAGAGCGCTCCCTTTCCCAGAGTATATACGCTGATGGATCCTTGCATCAGTCCCATGGTGCAGCTGGAAGTGCAGTTGTTGTGACAGGGAGAGATGGTTCCTTCTCCCATGAGTGTGGAGCGCGTCTAAGTAACTGGGCCTCCACTCTTCAAACAGAATTGGTTGCCATAATCCTTGCACTCGAGCGCGTATATGAATTCAAAGTTGACACGCTAATTGTAAGTGACTCCTTGTCATCCTTGACTGCCCTCAGCTCCCCAAGGCATAACTGTGACGTGCTTATCTCTGAAGCTAGACACAGATATAATGAAATAATCAATGATGGATTCAGTCTGTCTCCTGTGGATTCCTTCCCATATTGGTCTCAGAATGCATGATAGAACTGATGAGTTGGCCAAGACTTTTGCTCGTAAAGAGGGAATTGATTACCAACTTGGACTGCCTTTGAGCAGCCTGAGAGCAGTAATATTCCGGTAACATCAACTAAATTTCGAAGACTTGAGGCAAAGTGAAATTCACACCAGTTACTCCATCTATCATCGTTCTATTATGCAGGAAGTACCGCACGTCTATGGGTCATCCAATAAGGTTAGCAGACTTCTAGATGATACCACTGCTAGGCTTAAGCTCGGCTACAAGTACCTCTGGGAATTTGTGACATCTGCTGATGTAGATTTGACTAAATGTAAACTCTGTCAGCAGATTTATTCGCATTCTTTGCGTCATTATATAATGGAATGTGAAAAAATAATGGAATTTAGAGATAACACCATCATTAGTGTCCAAGAAATGTGTAAGTACTTCATACATAATGATGTGCTGCCCCAAATCTTAGAAAAGTATCCAAAATTTGCTTACTGTAAGTAATGCATGCACATGACTGTAAAGCTGTCGCCCAGTTGGGTGGGTGTGTAGCAAGACTAGTAACTGTGTGACTCATCATAGATGTAAAGTGCCTTGTATAGTGACTATTGTGAGCCTCTTGTTGAATCACTTGTGACACAAAAGATTATTGGTGTGTGTATTTATGTGGGTGATTAAGTATGTATGTGTATGTATATATGTATACGTATGTATATGTACATGTATGCATGAGTATGTGTACATGTATATATAACAGTAACTAGCGTCAAAAGATTGTTATTTGCTTAGCTAAACGAACTAGAGGGTTCAGTTCCTGAACCGATTATGTGCCTCTGTAATCCTTTACACCATCACCCACGGGATGGGTATGGGGTGCATAATAAAGAAAGAAAGGTAAGGTACTCACCTAGTTATGTTCACTTAAGTGATACTAACTAGTGTTATCTGATGATAATAATTTTGTGTTTACCTATTATCAATGTCATTTATTTATATAAATTTTTCTTTGCCTCAACTCAGGGTGGCTTACGTGAGCAAATGTCAGAATCGCGACTTAGACGAGTACATGTCTGAGTGTTGGTCTGGCTCCAGCTCGTCGTCCAACACTGTCAACATTCGGGACGAGTCTATCCTGCAACCGGACTCCATCATAGAAAACCAGGAAGCCGCCAAGGATAACTTCCCCATTGTCAATCTCGTCCGTGTTCCCATTAGACACGTGCCGTACGTAGCCTTCCCTCCAGTGCTCTACTACATCTACCCCCCTCTAAGCTTCCCGACACCTCTGGCCATTTGGCAACCATTATAGTCTACCGGAAGTATACAGTAATGATGTATAATTATGTGACCCTGGTTTAGAGAAGGCTTAAAAGGTCAGGCAACATAATTTATTGGCCTAGCAGGAAAGATCATATAGCCCTGTTAAGCCCAAATTAATAAAAATTATTATAATCTAATAAGTAATTTTAGTGATAAAAATATACATAGGAAAATGTAATAAATATTACACTTAAATATATATATATATATATATATATATATATATATATATATATATATATATATATATATATATATATATATATATATATATATATATATATATATATATATATATATATGTCGTACCTAGTAGCCAGAACGCACTTCTCAGCTTACTATGCAAGGCCCGATTTGCCTAATAAGCCAAGTTTTAATGAATTAATGTTTTTTCGACTACCTAACCTACCTAACCTAACCTAACCTAACTTTTTCGGCTACCTAACCTAACCTAACCTATAAAGATAGGTTAGGTTAGGTTAGGTAGGGTTGGTTAGGTTCGGTCATATATCTACGTTAATTTTAACTCCAATAAAAAAAATTGACCTCATACATAATGAAATGGGTAGCTTTACCATTTCATAAGAAAAAAATTAGAGAAAATATATTAATTCAGGAAAACTTGGCTTATTAGGCAAATCGGGCCTTGCATAGTAGGCTGAGAAGTGCGTTCTGGCTACTAGGTACGATATATATATATATATATATATATATATATGTCGTACCTAGTAGCCAGAACTCACTTTTTGGCCTACTATGCAAGGCCCGATTTGCCTAATAAGCCAAGTTTTCCTGAATTAATATGTTTTTTCTAATTTTTTTCTTATGAAATGATAAAGCTACCCATTTCATTATGTATGAGGTCATTTTTTTTTTATTGGAGTTAAAATTAACGTAGATATATGACCGAACCTAACCAACCCTACCTAACCTAACCTAACCTATCTTTATAGGTTAGGTTTGGTTAGGTAGCCAAAAAAGGTAGGTTAGGTTAGGTTAGGTAGGTTAGGTAGTCGAAAAACAATTAATTCATGAAAACTTGGCTTATTAGGCAAATCGGGCCTTGCATAATAGGCTGAGAAGTGAGTTCTGGCTACTAGGTACGACATATATATATATATATATATATATATATATATATATATATATATATATATATATATATATATATATATGTCGTACCTAGTAGCCAGAACACACTTCTCAGCCTACTATGCAAGGCCCAATTTGCCTAATAAGCTAAGTTTTCATGAAATAATGCTTTTTCGGCTACCTAACCTACCTAACCTAACCTAACCTAACTTTTTCGGCTACCTAACCTAACCTAATCTATAAAGATAGGTTAGGTTAGGTTAGGTAGGGTTGGTTAGGTTCGGCCATATATCTACGTTAATTTTAACTCCAATAAAATAAAATTGACCTCATACATAATGAAATGGGTAGCTTTATCATTTCATAAGAAAAAAATTAGAGAAAATATATTAATTCAGGAAAACTTGGCTTATTAGGCAAATTGGGCCTTGCATAGTAGGCTGAGAAGTGCGTTCTGGCTACTAGGTACGACATATATATATATATATATATATATATATATATATATATATATATATATATATATATATATATATATATATATATATATATATATATATATATGTGTGTGTGTGTGTCTTACTTAGTAGCCAGAATGCACTTCTCAGCCTATTATGCAAGGCCCGATTTGCCTAATAAGCCAAATTTTCATGAATTAATATATTTTCTCTATTTTTTTTCTTATGAAATGATAAAGCTACCCATTTCATTATGTATGAGGTCAATTGCTGTTTATTGGAGTTAAAATTAACGTAGATATATGACCGAACCTAACCAACCCTACCTAACCTAACCTAACCTATCTTTATAGGTTAGGTTAGGTTAGGCAGCCGAAAAAGTTAGGTTAGGTTAGGTTAGGTAGGTTAGGTAGTCGAAAAAACATTAATTCATGAAAACTTGGCTTATTAGGCAAATCGGGCCTTGTATAGTAGGCTGAGAAGTGCGTTCTGGCTACTAGGTACGACATATATATATATATATATATATATATATATATATATATATATATATATATATATATATATATGTCGTACCTAGTAGCCAGAACTCACTTCTCAGCCTACTATGCTAGGCCTGATTTGCCTAATAAGCCAAGTTTTCATGAATTAATATATTTCCTATTTTTTTTTCTTATGAAATGATAAACCTTACCATTTCATTATGTATGAGGTCAATGTTTTTGTATTTGAGTTAAAATTAACGAAGATATATGACCGAACCTATCCAACCCTACCTAACCTAACCTAACCTATCTTTATAGGTTAGGTTAGGTTAGGTAGCCGAAAAAGTTAGGTTAGGTTAGGTTGGGTAGGTTAGGTTGTCGAAAAAACATTAATTCATGAAAACTTGGCTTATTAGGCAAATCGGGCCTTGCATAGTAGGCTGAGAAGTGTGTTCTGGCTACTAGGTACGACATATATATATATATATATATATATATATATATATATATATATATATATATATATATATATATATATATATATATATATATATATATATATATATATATACATATATAAATATATAGTAGCTAAATCTAAAACAACAACAACAATTATAACTAGATACTGAGAAAATCATAATAATAATTTCAACCATTATATTACTATGATCTGCTACCAGAAATCTTGGCCAAATATCCCTAGTTTGTTAACTGTAGGTAGTAACTGAATGATTGTAACCTATCCACCGCTGCCCACTGGATGGGGGGGGGGGGGTTGCGGTGTTCAGGACAAACATAAATTATGACACTAGCTCTCCACGTATGTCAGTTGCTTAATTTAGAAACTAGTTGTGGTCGATCTCGAACCCATTGATGATGTGACAATGTGTATTGAATTTTGTAACTAGCTCATCAAGACTGTAACTTGCCTAGCTAAATGAATTGTAGGGGTTCAGTCCCGTGAGTCCATGATGTGCCTCTGTAACCCTATCCACTACCACCCCACAAGATGGGTATGGGGTGCATAATAAATGAACTAAACTAAATTATACTACTGCAGTAATTGTTGGATTAAAGTTCAGTTCTGTGGAGTGTGTAATTAATCACCAAAAGCAGGCATTGAGGTAAGGTAATTATAAGGAGAGAGCCGTAAGTAATTACAACTATCGTATCGCATCAATTATAAAAAGTATCGCATTTAACCTAGGAATGGTTAAAGGGGCGGGAAGGAGGGAAGGAGGGAGGGGAAGGAATGGTGCCTCAGCCCGGGAGACTAGGAAGCCAACAAGCAATCTCGGAGGGAAACTGTTGAGTAGTTTCGACAAAGTAAGAAATGCCGCTCCTGACAGCGTCTTTTTAATGAGAGCTGGAACTGTTGTGCTCGTATCCAACGTTTAACACCTTCGATAAGTGCGGGATATATTCCACATTTTTATAAATATAAAAATCAAACTGGAAAATATATCAAGGCAAATGGGTGGACCTTCGACAAGCCATCGGCTTCCTGTCCTCATCGAGACCACTAGTGTCAGTAGCCCTCGGGTAAACTCAGGCAAATTAATAAACAAACTTATTTTCTGTCATATGCCACTGGAGTACTTGTCATGAACCACACTACTTTTCCTTTTAAAATGATTAATCCGGAGGGACACCTTATCATATGACGATGGTAATTTTTAGTTACAGTTTGATCATTCTTTTTATTAGCTTAGTATCATTCTGAATTATAATTATTTAGCACTTGAAACATTACCTGGTGTTGTTTCAAACTAAAATACTTAGAGAATTAATAGGAAATTTCGCTAAGGAGCAAATCCTCCATAGTTATCTCTCGTCAACATTATAGCCCAGCAGAGTCTGTCCTTAACTTTAATTATTTGAAAGCTTTACGCCTTTAAAAATCTGTTGCGTTGTACATTTATTCTCTAGCAAAGGAGAACTGGGTTGGTGTTGGGCTTAAGGCCTATCTACCTATAATAGATTAAGAAGGCCACCACAATAGCTTACTTAACAACCAGCAAGTATACTTTAGTCCTATGAACCTCTGGAGGTTTATTAAGGCCACTACAATATCGTACTGACCAACTAGCAAGTATACTTTAGTACTATCAACCTCTGGAGGGTTATTTAGGCCACCACAATATCTTACTGACCAACTAGCAAGTATACTTTATTACTATCAACCTTTGGAGGGTTATTTAGGCCACCACAACAACGTACTGACCAACCATCGAGTATACTTTAGTCCTATCAACCTCTGGGGTGTTATTAAGGCTTACAACAGCTTACAGCTTAACCATTAAGAATATTTTAGACATATCATTCTCTGGAGGGTTATTAAGTTATTAAGACAACAGCTTACTGACTAAACAGCAAGTATACTTTAGACCTGAACATAGTCCAGGAATAAAGTAAACTCTCTAGGTATACACATTGAGAAGCAGAGTACACCTCATTTTCTTCTTCTTGATAGTAGGTCAGTTTGCTTGAAGGGTTTGTCCTCGATGACTGCTCCAGTTTAGATGTTGGGAAACACGTTTATGTTATGGATGATAAGAGTTTCAAAAGTACTTGTTGTGTTGTGCTGTAGATAGAGGAGTGGCGACTAAAACAGAGGTGAATGTTAGAGGGAAATTTGCTGCACCATAGGGCGGGATGTTATGTTTATGGCGTCAGGTGATCCATGGTGTTGCGACGAGGCATTTGTTTAATTTTCACAGTCTGTCAGGTGCAGTCACAGTGAGAGGTTGTGTTAGCTGGAGCTCCGATTGTAGTAACATTATTATAGCAATAATGGAAGGATTAGTGAAGGAATTGATGAATCTAGTTGGAACTCTGAGATCAGAGATGGATTCCCTACGAGAGGAGGTACAACAGCTGAAGCAGCGGGAAGAAACGAAGGAGGAGACCAATGTTAACAAGACCTCGTCGTGGAAAGTCGTTAAGGACAGGGGTTCTTAAGAAGACCTTGACAAGGCCGCCTACAGACGCCCTAAGGACATCAAATTCATTTGCCGTGTTGGAAGACGAAGGCTGTGGTGAGCCTGCAGTTCACTCGAAACGGAAATCAACGAAGAGCAACAGAGCACAGGCACTTCA